TCTAGTGAGGTTGGGGAGGCCAGGGGAGGGCCGTGGTAGGGGAGAGAAGGCAGGGGGCCCGAGAGCTATGCTATGGACTTTGGAACTGACCCCACGGGCAAAGGGAAGGCACTGTGGTTTTTGAGGAGGAATAGCTTGGTCCATGCTGAGCTTTGCAGAGCTGGCTCTGGGGCAGGAGATGGGTCTCAGTGCCCAGCTCAGAAGCGACACTAGAGTATTGACAAAAGGGAAAAGGAACAAGAAGCCTGCCCTGACGGAGAAGAACTGCACTTCTCAGCTCAGCTTCCCGGAAAAAAAGCGATCTTTGATCGCTCAAAGAGCTAGTTAAATGTCCTTACTGTTGTCTGACCACTCGGTTGGTCCCTATAGAAGCTGCTTGGCAAGGTGCTGGGAACAGCCTATGCTGACACACAAAAATGCCCAAATGCAAACAGAATACACAGAGAGGCTAGTTCTAGTGAAATTCTGAGATTTGGGGCAAAACAGTGAAGAAAAAAAAAAGCCAGGCTTTTCAGCTTGTAGAAATTCTACCAACTTAGTGAGGAAATGAGTTAGAGGAGAAATACAAGCAGCCTTAAAGTGAGAAGTGCTCTCTGAATATTCAAGAGCATCGACCTGGTCAGGAGCATCCGTCTCACTTCCCTACCCCTAAACATGCTTCAGGAACAGTGTGGGTGCGTTCTTCTCTTTCCTTATCCTCCTGCTGGGCCCTTTCTAGACAGCCTTCTCTACCCTCTCCCTGTACTGCACACCTGCCAGAACACTGGTAATCCCATAATAAGACAGCCGGACTTGACGACGACCTGATTCTACAAGTACAACACTACTTCTGTGGTCTCCAAACTTTCCCTTGTGCATCCCATCAAGAGAAAACAATCCAGGTACACCCACAGTGTATGTGCACATTATACATCAATTATGTAATGATTACTATCAGCCCGTCTATTAAGCACTAGTAAATCTGTTTCATTTTTTAAAAATTGACAAGACATAGGTACACTTTTGACACTTTCATCTTCTACGCAAAGGAATGGTCTTCCCCTTCAGGCCGTGAGAATAGTCACACTTACTGGAAGGAAGATTCTGTGGCAACGACCGAGTTAGACTGGACCCGGACTTAGCCACGAGGAAATTTTCCATCACCCTGTTACGTGATGGATTTTGACACCACTGATGGTCCCCACCTTGCTCTGCTGTCTCATTACGAGTTGTAAAATGCTGATTTTCTAATTTTTCATTCCTTTTGCATTTATTAGCTGTGATTTCCCCATAATTAACAACGTTCTCTCATCACCTATTTGATTATCTTCAAATACAATTTGTCCTAGAAAGGCACGATCAAAGCTGGATTCTTTCCATCTATTTTTCAGAGTAATGAAGTCAGTGTCTTAGCAACTCGCAAAGGCGATCGATTGATTTTCTGGGTTTTTCTTGCTTGGACTATCATTCTGGATTCATGGATTATTTTCCATTGGTTTGATTCAAATCCACTGCAGTCATTATTTTTTTTGATGCTCAAACTACCCCAGCTTTGGCTCCTGTGTCCCTCTGACTCCACCCCAGGGGTCCTTCTTAGCTTCCTTGCTTCCACGTGACTGATGTCCCATCTTTAACAGTTCCTGCCCTAGACCTGGAATCACCTATTTATCTTAGAAAGAGGATCCTTTAGTGGGAAAGGTACTTAGGAAATCCCAATCTGAGTGTTAAGGATACTCTCACTGCCACTGGATTGTCTTTACTTTTGATCCTTTTCAAAGTACAGAGTTAGGAAACATTTCCTTTTCAGAGAGAAAATATAAGTTCATAGTGATATTTCCTATTCAAGCTGAGTATTATACAATCTTTACTTAAATTCTTTATACACTCCCCTCTTCCTATATACCGCAAACTGTAGTTCCTACAGTATAACTGTAATAGTTTCAAATAACAATATAAGTATTCCCCACTACGACTGTATGGTCCAAAGACTGTGCTTAAAATCACTTGAAATAATTATTTTATCTGTGTGAGAGATTAGTACCAACCTGATACAGGTTTCTTTTTTCATTTTTTGATCTCTTTTCAATCTTTAGTGAATTCTTTTTTCTTTTTAAATTATGTAAAACATTTCTATGGTTCCAAAGTCAAAATAAAGTACGTTAAGAGACATCTAGCACAGGGAACTATATTCAATATCCTGTAATAAACCATATGGGAAAGAATATAAAAAAGAATGTATCTGTAGGTATAACTGAATCACTTTGCTGTACAGCAGGAATTAACACAACATTGTAAATCAACTATACTTCAATTAAAAAAAGGAGACATTTATTTCCTATCCCTGTCCCTGCAAACCCTCCTCCAGTGGTAATCGTTTTTATTAGCTTGCTATTCTTCCATTGTTTCTTTTGAAAACACAAGCACATTCATACATGTACACACACTTCCCTCCCACCATACCCTTCTTATATAGAAGGGAGTGACTCCACATACCTTCCTGAACTTCGGTTTTTACCACTTAATATATCCTAGACATCTCCCTCCAGAGACTGGAGTCTTCCCTCGGCCCTTTTGCACAGTTACACATGACTTCACTCTATCAATAGACCATATTATTCACTCAGTCCCCTATTAGGAACCTCTGGGTTATTGCCAGTCTTCTCCTAGTACAAATAGTGCCACAATAAATGGCCTTGTACACACTGTACACATACCATGTCTGACCTTTGCTCACTTATCTTTGGGATGGATTCCTAGATATGACCTTGTCAAAGGAAGGATGCCTAGGAAGCTATGCTAGACAGTGACAAATCCCCTTGCACAGGGAAGTGCCAGCCAGGCTGCATTCCCACTGCCTTCCCTAAGTCTCACCATAGGAAGAGCTGCGTCAGCAAACTTTCAGACTTTTGCCAATCTGATATGCGGGACATGGGATCTTGGTGCAGTTTTAAAATGCATTTCTCTTATCATGAACGAGGTTAACATGTTTTCATATATTGGGGGCAATACATTTCTTTTTTCTCCGAACTGCTTTTGCCCATTTCCTACTGGATTGTGGAATGTTTTCTTCTCAATTTTTAGAAGCTCTTTATACATTAGCGATATTAATCCCCTGTAACACAATTTGCTATGGTGCTATTTTTTTGTGTTGCTGATTTTGCCATACAGGTTTCTTTTTTTTTTTTAGGCAGACAAATGTATCAGTTTTGCCCCCGCCCCACCCCCCTCCCCCGATTCCTGCTGAATTCTGAGTCAGTTAAGAAACTATCCCTTTCCCAGGTTAACAAGAATTAATCTATCTTTCCATCTTTAGTTATATTGTAAGCAATGAATTGATTTCAATTCAATCAACCAACACTGCTGAAATCCTCCATTCATGGAGAATGAAAATAAGTTCTTTTGGACTCTGAATTCCAACATTCTAAAAGAGAACTTCTTTCTGGAAAAGCCTTCTATTTCTACGCCCCAGATATAGGGAAATACCATCCCACGGAGGGCATAGATATACCGTGTCATTTAAGTAGTGTTGGTCATTTTGGACACAACTAACATTTTATGTATGTGAAGTAACACACAAGCCACTTCTTAGGTTATTTTGTGTCACCTCATCGCAGCCCCTCAAAGTTACACAGCAGTGTCGATCCAAAGGTAACTCTAGCCATGTCTCACCATGCTGCCAGCCACCTGTCACCCACCATGCCCTATATTAGTTTGTCCCCTGAACTGTGCCCCCGTGACAGGCTATGATAGGATGACAGAGCTCCAGGAGCGGCAATAATAATGTCTACGATGCATACAGAACGCTCTCAAACACCGCTCTGAGCTAAAATGAACATTTAAACATGAGTCGATTTTTAAAATCACTTCCCCATCTGCCACAGACCTTCTTAATTCATCCTTCCTTCTCATACTTCACACCCAAGGACTAGTCCAATGTGTCCGCTGCTGCACTTAGTGAATCCGACGAAAGGTCACCTTCAGGTGGCTGCACGTGAGGGGGAAGGCTCAGTACATGGGGAAAAGGCACGGCAGAGGGCCTTGGGTTTTAAAGAAGGAAACAGATTCGCAGCTCAGATCCTAATTCTAGGATGGAAATCTCTGGATTAAAATTATTCCGCTAATTTGGGAAAATGGAAATCTGCACTCTGAGTGTCCAAATGGACGCTGTTTAACTCGGGGGAACTTTCATTTCCACAACAGGAATTCACCTCAACAAGGGGAATCACCAAGGTCTATGGACTTAAACAATAAATTCATTTTTGTCATGAATACTACAGGATCTGGTATTTGGCTTCACAGTCCTCAGCTAATTATAAATGAAATGAAGCTACGGGCAGGTAGACTGATGGCAGCAACAAGAAATGGTGAATGTGGGAAAGGAACACAGAAAATTGCTGAAAGGCTACAGTTGGGGCCAGCGGGTTCATCAACTTTTAGCCTGTCCACTACATCACTTTACAAAATAATCACTGCTCGTGGCAACATGGACACCACGTGAGCAAGACAGGGTGAGATTTCATCCTAGGCTCAAAGTTTAAGAAGCCAGTAAGGTATGCAACAGTTTTAAATCGTTCTATTTTGAAAAGACTGACTTTTTTTTCTTTACAAAGGTTGATGCTTAAATAATGAAGATTTAATTACTTGGAAAATGTATGCACATGGAAGACCTCATTCCTCTTGAATCATCAAGTGGACCCTAAACAGTGTCTGTGTCGCATGAAGCATGTTTACTGCCCGCCGAAGTCCATCCAAAGTCCTTTCCCAGATGGTTTCCAGTGACACCTCATATTGAATATTTTTCTCCAGAACATTTCTAAGGTTTTTTACAAAATGTTCACATAGCCTTTCAATTCCGATTTTAAAAACAATCCAGTTATTCCCAAGAAAAAAGGTTCCACAGCACCCATTTCTACAGCTAAGGGCTCCGGGAATCACAGCTGAAAACACATGGTGGCCTCATTTCTTTTCCCATTTGTCTTTGGCGGCATTCTGGAAAGTAGAGGTGAGACACAACTACTCACGGAACATGGTGTAAAACTGCTGCGGGTTCAGGTTCCACTTGCCCCAGGGGGTCTTGTGGCCTTTCAACTGGGCATAGTTGGCATGGTTGAACTCTGGTTCGGTGCCGAATGAGTCCAGGACACGCAGCATGCACCTGAAAGATAAAAGACGCCATGGGTAAAACTACAACCTTGACCCCAAAGTCAAAGAAACAAAAGCTCTACCCCCTCAGGGACCACCAAAGATGGACAAATCCTTTAAACTGAATGCCACTGGGCAGGAATTGAGAGGTTTTATACTAGCATGTCTACCAAACATCCCCACACGTGGCTTCTGAGCCAGAGCCATCACAAAGCTCATAAAATCTGCTCTAGATGAGTTGACTAATCACAGAAGATGCTCCAATACCAGTGAAATAAAAAGCTCCCAACAGCTGGAACTGCAGACCGCCATGGTCACTGCTGTACCCCTAGCCTGGGCTGACCATACAGTGGTACCTAATGGACAACTGTGGAAGAAATAAAGAACTACCATTTTTAGAGGTTACTATGTCCCTCCAAATTCATATGCTGAAATCCTAAGGAGGTGGTATTAGTAAATGGGCCTTTGGGAGGTGATACGGTCATGAGGGTGGAGCCCTCATAAATAGGAATAGTGTTTTTCTAAAAGAAATTCCACAGAACTCCCTAGCGCCTTCCACCTTATGAAGATACAATGAGAAGTCTGCGACCTCACCTGACCATGCTGCCACCCTGATCTCAGACTTTCAGCCTCCCAAAATGTAAGCAATACATATCTGCTATTTATAAGCCCCCCAGGCTGTGATGATTTTGTACAGCAGCCTGGGCAGACTGAGACGGAGGTCTTATTCTGCTTAGAGCACATGGCATGTCCTGTCTCCTTCAACAACTATTCAAGATTTTCATCAACTAACTACAGTACATGATTTTAGGTAAAGCTTAGAATCTCACTTAATAGGCAGTGGTGATTTTTATGTATTTGATAGTAAGAGGGCATTATTGTTTTCTCCCAGAGCTCAAAAAGAAGTGAAACTGAAAATGTTTTGTTTGGCTATTCCACAAAAGCCTTAGCACAGCATCAATCAAACCTGGTCTATCGCCTGTTTTTGTATGGCCTTCTAGCTAAGAATGTTCTTTACATTTTTAAATGGTTAGAAAAAAAAAGGGAGAATATTTTGTGATGTGAAAATTATACGGAATTCAACTTTCAGTGTTCAAAAATAAAGTTTTATTTGAACTAGCCAAACCTATTTGTTTCTGTACGTCTGTGACTGATTTCACACAGTAGCAGTAGACTTGGTAGCTGCAACAGAGACCACATGGTCAAGCAAAGCCTAAAATATTTACTATCTGGCTCTTTACAGAAAAAGCCTCCTGACCACTGTTTTGGAGTGCATAAAGAATGACCAATCGGAAGAAAGGAATCAATACTAAAACAGAATTTATTGATTTTGGTTACATTTATTTCATCACTGATTCTCAAAACACTGATGTAAATTTAACTCATGACTGGCCAATGAAAAAGCACTATTTTCTGCTGTTATGTATCAGTAATAATTCTGAATGGCTCTTACTGGACCAATAAGCATAAAAGTAAATGAAGATAGAGCCCACATTTTAGAATCAGATGACGGCAATGACTTTTAAGCATCTGATTCACTTTCTTTCTTCCTTTCCCCACTAGGAGGAAGTCCATCTTCCAATTATTTTTACATCAATGCATACTGCAGAAAAAAAGAATGCAAACGCCAGATAGGATTTTCCAGGAAGAGCAACAGTAAACTGTCATTTTAGTGTGATGATTTTCACATCAGAGCTCAGCACTATTTGTCTAGACAAGGAAGAAAAGAAAGAGGGGAGGCAAGGTGGAAGGAGCGCGGGCCAGGACCACAAAGTTAAATACAAACCAACCCCAGAAACAGTGTCCTTCTTCTGGATTCCCATGTGGCTCTCAAGGAACATTCGATCCTCACAGTGACTAGATATATATGTATAAATAACTGAATTGCTTTGCTGTACACCTGAAACTAACACAACACTGCAAAACAACTATACTTCAATTAAAAAAAAAAAGAAAGAAAACAGCTGGGATGATGGTGACAACGCTGCCAAGGTCACTACGGGAGAGGGGCGGGCGGAGGGGCTGGAGGGACTCACACTGACAACTGGGGGTGGGGAAGGTTCGGCTCCCTCAAGAGGGACAGAGCTGGGATTCAAAGGTGAGAGCGCCCTGAGCAGGCACAGCAGGGAGAAACAGGCCACCAACATCAGAGAAACCTTTGCCTTGAAGGCTCTGGCTACCTCCACTTGTTTGTAATTGACTGACCGTCTCTAGCTTGTGACTCTATATTTAACTTGGAGTTTTAGTGGTGTTATTTTAAATGTGGATAACTAAAACAAACCCTGATGAGTAAAGATGCCTGGCAGGAGCCTAACTCCTGAAATCTTGGACTTTTATTACATGGGGCCTATATGTACGCTACGTGAGGCTGGCTTCTACTCAACGGAAGGCTACAGAATGAATGATGGGATGCGTGAGATACTTATAACTCTACATGCTTATACTTGCAGCTTTGGTTTGGGAGTTGTCTGTTTTTTTTAGCTTATCTGGGTTTGTCTTATAAACCCAAGGCAGGAGACTGATCTCTGTCTAGGACAGAGGAGGCTGAACAATTATAGTCTTCCCTCTTCAATCACTTTCTACACCTGTGTGTTTTGGAATTGGGTGTGTGCCGGTAGTATTGATGCTGTTCCTCTAATGTCTTCTGTGTGTCTGGAGCATCAAGAACAGACTGATGACTTAAAAAGATATTTGCCTCGCTGCCCGAGGCAGCTGGCCTCCTAACAGGGCTGGCTGCAGCAATGCCAAAGGATTTCTGGAACATTCTCTCTGCACTAAGTCACACTATTACGAGATGGATGCTCACAACCTCCTTGCCAGGACCTACTTCCTAATTTGGAGTTTGATGTAAAACATGGTATATCTTGGACTATTTGCATCGCACTTTCCTGTGTGTTGTCCATGCTCAGCAAAGGCCTCACATGAAGCAAAATGGATATGAGTTTTGCAGTACCTAGCAGAATACTAGTCGCATTTAGGTATTTAATAAATGTTTCATCGAATGTCCTGGGTCCCTATATAAGTTGGACAGAATTTATAAATATTTTCCCAAGATCAACAGGAATCATAGATTTGCTCCTAAATAAAACAACCAACTGATAACTTTACATTTAATAGAATTCTTATCATCTTCCATCACCCAAGATGAATACAGAGAGCGCCGACAATTTCTAATCTTTAAAAGGGAAAGAAATGGGCAAGAAACTTTCTAGAGGACCTGCTTGGCCTTTGGATGAGATCTTAGCTGCATGAGACCACAAAGACGGCAGCACTGAAGTCCTAACAGACCTCCTGCCAGCAAATATCACTAACACAGATGATTTATTAAAGAAAGGAGGGATAAAACACTCTTCCACAAAATCCCCTCAGAGAAAATATGCCTTTTCATCCAACAAGAACCAAATACCAATCAATGGTGACCATTTTAATAATAAAATCATCCTTTTTAATTGACCTAAACGCTACCACTGAGAATATATTTCCACCCAAACAGCCCTGCTTAATCATGAGAATATGTAAGTCTAGGGACGCTCAGTTCCTTTTGCACATTTATCAGATGGCTGTCAGTCACAAAACGCCAGAGAAAAACAGCTCTTTCTTTTTTTCAATGCTGTAGCTAAAAAGAAAAAAAAAGTTTATTTACAAGGTCTATCAGCAACAAGAAATATGGCTACTCCCACAGAGCGGAGAACATTTATGGTGGCCCATGATTCATGAAGATTTCAAAAAAGCAACAAACCAAAAAACAGGGAAAACCTGATGCAGAAGGTAGGGTGCTATCCTGGACCAAACCCAGATTTTTATCTTGCTTTTTTATGAAACTGCAGGCACACCTCATTTTATTGTGCTTCACGCTTTTGCACTTCGCAGATACTACACTTTTTACGAATTAAAGGTTTGTGGCAACCCTGCATTATCAGAGGTTGGTTAGCATTTTTTAGCAACAAAGTATATAAACTTTTTTTTCCCTTTCCAGTTTTATACTGAAATATAATTGACACACAGCACAGAATATGTTTCAGGTGTACAGCATAATGATTAGATTTATATACAACATGGAATGACTACCACAAGTTTAGTGAACAACCATCATCGTAGAGATACAAAATAAAATTTTTTTTCCTTGTGATAAGAGCTTTTGGGTTGTACTTACTTATCTTAGAGCTGCAAGTTTATACCTTTTGACTACCACTCCCCCAACTCCCCCTCCCCCCGCTCCCTGCCTCTGGTAACCACAAATCTGATCTCTTTGTCCATGACTTTGTCTTTGTTTTCGAAGTATAATTGACCTATAGCACTGTGCCAGTTCCTGGTGTGTAGTATAATGATTCCGTATTTCTGTACATTACAAAACGATCACCATGATAAGTCTAGTTACCATCTGTCACCACACAAAGATATTACAATATTATTGATTATATTCTCACACTGTGCATTTCATACCTGTGAAAGGATTTTTAAAATTAAGGCATGTACTTTGGGGTACGTGTCCTTTATACAATGGAATATTACTCAGCCATAAAAAGGAACAAAACTGGGTCATTTGTAGAGATGTGGATGGACCTAGAGTCTGTCATACAGAGTGAAGTAAGCCAGAAAGAAAAAAACAAATATCATATATTAACGCATATATGTGGAATCTAGAAAAATGGTACAGATGAACCATTTGTAGGGCAGGAATAGAGATGTAGACATAGAGAACAGACCTGTGGACACATGCGGGGAAGGGGAGGGTGGGACGAATTGGGAGATTAGGTTTGACATAAATACACTACCATGTGTAAAACAGATAGCTAGTGGGAACATGCTGCATAGCACAGGGAGCTCAGCTCGGTGCTGTGTGACAACCTAGATGGGTGGGATGGGTGGGGCGGGGGTGGGAGGGAGGTTCAAGAGGGAGGGGATATAGGTATACATATAGCTGATTCACTTCATTGTACAGCAGAAACTAACACAACATTGTAAAGCAATTATGTTCCAATAAATAAATAAAGGTATGTATTTTTTTAATAC